GCTTGGAGATGGCTCTTGAAATGCAAATTTATCAACTCAATGTTTATGGGGACTCAAGCTTGGTAGTGAATCAACTCATAAAGGAGTTTGATGTTTGAAAACCAAAACTTATCCCATACTTCTAATATGCCTCTCAACTCCTTGAGAAATTTGATCATGTCTCAATTGCCCACGTTCCTAGGAGTTGAAACAAGCAAGCAGATGCTTTGGCTAATTTAGCTGCTGTCATTGCAAGTCTTGATAATCAAGAAGCCACTATTTTTGTGTCCCAACAATGGATTTCACCTCATTTGAGATTTGAAGATGCAGAAAGCAATGTTGTTTCAGTATTTGTCATTAAGAAAGAAGACTGGAGACAACCAATCATCAATTACTTGGAACATGGAAAGCTACTAGATGATCCACGCAAAAAATCCACAATTCGAAGAAGGGCTCTATGCTTTGTTTACTTTTGTAACACCTTCTATCGGCGATCTTTTGATGGAGTTCTCCTTAGATGTTTGGATGGAGATGAATCAATTCCAAGTGGTTGAGGAGGCGCATTCTAGAATTTGTGGAGTTCATCAGTTTGGTCCAAAGCTTCACTACCGAATAAGAAGAATGGGATACTACTGGCTAACAATGGTAAAGGATTGCATGGAATATGCAAAGAAATGTGAAGCATGTCACTTTCATGCAACCTTTATCCATCAACCACTGGAGCCTTTACATCCAACAATAGCATCATGGCCCTTTCATGCTTGGGGTTTAGATGTGATTGGACCCATTACACCAAAATCTTTAGCCGGGCATGCATATATCCTGGCAGCAACTGATTACTTTTCCAAATGGGTGGAAGCTGTACCTTTGAGACAAGTCAAGAAGGAAAATGTTTTTGACTTTATTCGAGTTTATATCATCTATCGGTATTATGTTCGAAGGTACATAATTACAGATAATGGCAAGCCCCTAACAATAGTCTCATGGACAAGTTGTGTTCAAAGTTCAAGTTTGCCCAACATTTTTCCTCTACGTACAATGCTGCTGTGAATGGACTAGCAGAAGCTTTTAATAAAACCCTTTGCAATATCCTTAAGAAGATTGTTCCAAAGTCCAAGCGGGATTGGCATGAAAGAATTGGTGAAGCACTTTGGGCGTATCGAACGACTCATCGTACTCCAACAAAAGCAACTCCTTATTCCCTTGTGTTTGGAGTTGAAGTTGTTCTCCCTTTGGAATGCCAAATTCCATCTCTCAGGATTGGCATTCAAGAAGGTCTTACTGATGAACAAAATGCCAAGCTCTATCTCCAAGAACTAGAAGCCTTAGATGAGAAAAGACTGGAGACCCAACAACACTTAGAGTGTTATCAAGCCAGATTGTCTAGGGCATTCAACAAGAAGGTCCAACTAAGGGCATTTCAAGTTGGAAATGTGAAGTTAGCTGTTCGAAGGCCAATTATCATCACTCGTCATTTAGGGGGCAAGTTTACTTCAAAATGGGATGGTCCTTATATCGTGACAAAAGTTTACAGTAAGGTTAAAACCCCTTTTTGGTCCCTGAACTATTGTACGAACCTCGATTTGGTCCTTGAACTAAAAAAATCCCTGATTTGGTCCCTACTGTTTACCATTTTTACCCCGATTTGGTCCTTCTGTCAAATATCAACCTACGTGTCCTGTTACTTGATGGGAAACGATGACATGTAAAAACATTTTGACACCTATGATGTACAGTGTGATGAAAAAATGAGATGGCAAGAAAAAAATCTTAAAAAATTTCTTATTCCTTTTTTTTTTTCTTCGTTTGTTTTTCCTTTTTCCCTTTCTTCTTCCTCTCCTTTCCTTTAACCTTTTGCAAACCCTTACTCCTAATATTAAATTCGAGGATAACCACAAATCAACAGATTAAACTCAATAGATATTTGACCCAACGGCTGCTGGGTTCGAAACGAAACCCAGAGCCTCACTTGCAGGAACTCAACGGTTGCTCAAACGCACCGCCTGCTGGGTTCGAAATTAAACCCAGCACTTGCAAACGAACCCATCACCAGCAAAAACCTAGCATTCGAAATTGAAAAAAATCGAACCCAGCATCGAACCCAACACCTACAGTAACCCAGCAACTGCCTTTGCCTTGCCTTCTTCATCTTCATCAATCAATTTTTCATCACAATCAAACAACAAAATCCAAAAAACAAAAACAGAAATTTAAAAAAAAAATGTTTTGCACCTTGGTTCGTAAGGAACCAAGACACGAACCCAGCACGCTTGGGTTCCTTGCGAACCTAGGCATGCTGGGTTTGATGCGAACCCAGACGCAAACCCAGCATGCTTGGGTTCCTTGCGAACCCAGTGCCTGGGTGGGTTTGAAGGAACCCAGGCCTGCTAGGTTCCGAGGGGAAAGAGAAGAGAAAAGGGAAGGAGAAAAAGAAAGGGAAAGGGGAAGGAGAAAGAAAAAAGAAAAAAAATTTTAAGTTTTATTTTTCATAATATTTTTTTATATTATTATTTTTTCCACATCATCATTTTTTTGGTTATATTATCTTCCACGTGGATTACTATATGACATGTCATCTGGTAACCGTGAAGTAACAGGCCACGTCACACCATTTTTAACGGAAGGACCAAATCGGGGTAAAAATGGTAAACAGTAGGGACCAAATCAGGGATTTTTTAGTTCAAAGACCAAATCGGGGGTCTGTACAGTAGTTCAGGGACCAAAAAGGAGTTTTAACCTTATAGTAATGGTGCCTACAAGATTGTTGACAAAGATGGTCTACAGATTGGTCCCATTAATGGAAAGTTCCTCAAGAAATTGTACTCTTAAAAAAAAAAGAAGAAGAAATGTAATACTCCTAGTCACAAGAGTACAAACTGTATGACCAAAATAAAAAAAAATACTCCTGGCCTGCAAGAGTATAAACTGTGAACGGCTCAAAAAAAAAAAAACAAAAACAAAACCTTTGAACTACGTTTGACTTGATCCCCAAA